TGACCTTGAACAATCCTACTGCCTCAGCCTCCCGGAGTGCTAGGACACACCCGGCCCGTGGGCATGTCTTATTACCATGGATAGTTCTACTGTTAGCACTACTCCCCCATATGAACTCTGTGGTGTAAACTAGAAACATTTTAACCCAAGATCTAGTAAAGTGATCTGAGTGATGTTAAAAAAAAAAAAAAGCATAAAACAAAGACTCAGACTGCAACCTCTTAAAAATAAAAAATAATATTCATTTATTGAAAAGGAAAAATTTAACACACGATCCATATGCAGAACCCCAAACGAGCTCTACAGGCTCCGGCATGATCCACATCTCTACACACACCATGCTGGAAACACACACCCACGTAGGCACAGGACACACAGCACTGTCTGGCTATCGAGACCTGCTGCGCGGCCGTTTGTGTCATGCCTCTCATTCACACAGCCACTGACACGTTTTATAACAGAGTCACCCGATTTTATTATCCACTGAAAGAAAATAGCTCCCCCAGCATCACCTTAATTTAAGTCAAAGAACATAGTTAATGACAGGCAGCTTCCCCTCATTTCCCACCCCCCTTACTCTGATAACCTCCTATCAGCACCTTTGATGTCCCTTGGCCAGGGAATGACTCAGTGGTACAAAGGAGAGGGAGGAAATGTGAACAGGCCGATGCTGTCAGAGCAAACAGCCTTGCGACCAGCCAGACCAACCGTCTAAAAGTATTGACCATGATTTCAAAGGCAAATCACACCCGTTCCTTTTCCCCCTATTGGTCTCGGAGATAATGTACTTTTGAAAATTAGATTCTAAGGCAGACTTGAAGTGAACCTGCTCATCGCTAAGTCCAGCCACATGGACTCTGTGTCTCCTCTTTGAGGAGGCAGCATTGTGTTCCCACTGGGGGCCATGCTGAGTTCTGCCTTAACCACTGATCAGCTACAAAATCAACCCACGGATACAGAGCCCCTTGCCACGAGCAGTGAATAGAGCTGGAAACAGACACAAATTGAGATTTTTTTTGCATTTCTAAAAAACAGAGGTGAACATTAGTGTTAAGCAGAGATGATGACATTCTAGGAAGGGAGAAATTTGAGAAGAAAAAAGCAAGATGAGAGAACAGGGAGGGGGAAATTGTTTTTGTAATGTACTTGTTTGGGACGAACACTTCAAGACTACTGATAAAACTGAAGTCTACCTCTCACAGGCAGACAGCGAGCAGTGACCATCAGCCAACGCAACTGGCTGCAGAGGTGAGACAGGAGAGGGTGGGTCTATGCTAAGTCATGCCACATCTTCCCACACGTCTCGCCAGGGTTTGTGCAGATACAGACAGCAGCACAACATAAATAATGCCACTTGCGAAGGGTGACAGCTCCTAGGCAGAGTGAACAGAAAATGCCAGGTCACACTCGTCCCAGCAAGTGCCTGCATTTAGGAGCAGGTACACTGCCCACCAAGAGCTGGCCTGCTCCCAACAGCAGCATTTGGAAGAGAGAACCACCAAGGGGCTCTAAGAAAGCTATTACCTCTGGGTCCATAGAAATTGGGGAGATGGGAGCAGGGACACAGAGCACAGCAGTACCTGCCCAGAAAGCCCGCAGTTTGTCTTTGCTCCACCAGATGCAGCCTCACGTTCCAGAAAGCCTCTGCTCTGTCGCTGCATGAGCAGATTTCCACTTACCCTGGTGCTTTCTCACCAGGCACCAGAGTCAGGGCACAGCGTCAGGGAAGCCGGTTCCCACCAGCAATGGGAAGACACCAGAGAGAGCCTCTGCCTCAAGAAGCCCCGTGGGCGGCAGAAGAGACCCTGAGTGGGCCCAAAGGGCTACCTGCACAAGAGGAGGAAGAGCTCCCTCCACTACTTTCTTCTGGCTGATCCTGTCCTTGACCCCTAAGTGCTGTGCAACTGCACAGCCAGGAAGGTCCTCTGACCTGGATCTGCCTTGCCTGGGTCTTCCGAAGTAGCCATGCAATCAGGCTGTCCGTGTAGCAGCAGCACAGGAAAGAGATCAAACAGGCCATGCCAAATGAGCTTCCAGGAATCCTAATGCTAGAATCAGACCATCCACACAGCATGTTCTCAGGGCCAGAGGACCCCAGTATTCCACCACTGTCCAGTCCTCAGGTCCCAGCATCACAGTCCCAATCTCAGAACTCACCTGGACAGGACTGCCTCTAGCGGCTCTGCGTACACAGAAGCCTCCGCCGGGGAAGCCACGGGCAGGACACAAGTCTGCCCCTTCAGCTGGCACGCACCTTCTCCACGAAAAAACCCCGCAGCACTGCTGGGGGGAGACGGCTGGGCTGCCAGAGCCCGAGCTTGGCAACAGGAGATGACAGTTTATCTGAGCCCACTTTGGTAACTTCCAAGCCTGAGACTTCAGGGGTAAAGGCCTTTGCTACTCCCAGCTAGATTCCTGGTCCTAAAAGCACCTGTTAGAACCCACCAAACAGCAGAAAAGGTGGGTACAAAGTGTCACTCTCCTAAGGGAGAACAAGTCAACAATAATGACATCTTCCCAAGTTAATAGTAGGCCATTAAATCTGAAATGTCCAATTTCAAATTAAAAGTTTAGTTTATTACATCTCAAACAAGAAGCAGTACCCTTAATCAAAGTATGCGCCTAAACCACCAACACAGTTTTGCCTTCTCGGCGGTAGCGTGTGCATGCCAGCAGCGAAGAAGCCTGGAGAGCGAGAGGTGATGAAATTGAGAAAGGCATTTTCCACAGCTTATTGAGATTTGAGTATTTTCCCTTGCGAGAAGTGGTCCAAAGCCTGGAAGAAGTAGTCAGCTGGTGCAAAGGTCTGATCAATACACTCAATGACAGAGTTTCCAGGTCGAGTGTTGTCTTGCAAGAGGACTGGCCTGTCTCTGTTGAGCAATCTCAGCTGCTTAATCGCAAGCATCCTCATCATTTCAACCAACTGGCTGCGGTAGACATCTGCTGTAATCGAGTGGCCAGGCTTCATGACACTGTAGTGAATAACACCAGCACTGGACTGCCAAACAGACACCATTAGCTTTTTCTGATGAAAAAGCTTTGCACCGTGTTTCAGCACTTCATCTTTATCCAACCATCGTGCCAAATGCTTGCAACTGTCAAAAAGAATCCATTTTTTTTTATCACACATAATACCGTGTAGAAATGGTTTAATTTTATGTCATGACAACAAAAAAAGGCAAGCTTCAAGACCATTTCTCTTCTGATGCTTGTTTAATTCATGCAGAACCCATCTATCCAGAACCCATCTATCCTAACCCATCTATCTATTCTTTACCTTGCCCATTCGTTTCAAATGGTCCAATATTGTTGGAATAGTGATGTCAAACCTTGCTGCTAATTCACCTGTAGGTTGAGATGGATTTGCTTCCACTAAAGCTTGCAGCTCATCATTATCCACCTTGGTCTTGGGTTGCCCAAGTGGCTCATTTTCAAGATTAAAATCTCCAGAGTGGAACTTCTCAAACCATCGATGTACTGTGCGTTCATTAGCCACATCCTTCCCACATACATCATTGATATTTCAAGCTGTCTGTGCGGCACTGGTTCCACGGTGGAACTCATGAAAAATAACAGGAATTTTTCATATCCATTTTGACTTATCCAAGAAAACCAGAAGTGTCAAAGTGAAATGTCAGAGATATCAACAGTCAAACTTAGTTATTAAGGAAACCAGACATTTCATACTTAATAACCTAACAGTCACTGCAATGAGAATCCACTTTTTCTGTCCCTTCACCTGAACTCGGCCCTACTGCCTTCGGAACAGAAGGGAAAGAAAAGCTGGGGCCACAAGGGTGGCTCACAGCACTTACAAGCTTTGGTGAAGCACAAAAACAAAACCCTGATCGATTGTTGCTGCTCTCCCGTAGCCAACTCTCAGGGTGAACCGTATCTGCAGGTAAGCAGGAGCCTGGTGACGAGGGTGGCGATGAGGAGTCCGCTCCGCTACACACGCACAGACACCCAGCTAACGACAGGTGAGTTAACAAACGCCCTTCTGAAATACTTCTCACGCCAAGAGGAAAGAAGAGGCAGCCCAGAGCAAAGCAATGCATCCTCCTCTGCCTTCTCTTCAGTTCGCCCCCAAATCTGAAGGCTGACCTCCAGGTGAGCCATGCTGGGGCTGTCTGCCACACTCAGGGAGGCACGGTGGGGAAAGACAGAGGTTGCGATTAGTGTTCAGTGGTTCCTGTCGAAGTTCAGGGCACAGAGGCAGCGTGGGCCCTGGTTCTGCCCCAGTCCCCAGTGACTGTAAACAAGCACCGTGCGTAGTGTCAGACCAGCTGCTGTGAAGTCTAGGAACTTAATTTCAAACGTTCTGTGCACACTGACCTCAACGTCTCCTCCATGGCAGCAGCGTGACAGCAACTGAACGCTGCCATCCCCTTTGCTTGGCAGGGGCTGAGGCTGGAAAACGGGCCTGAACTCACCATGCAACCATCTTCCACACCTCGCACTCGGCCACCGTCCCTCAGCCCAACGCACTCCCGGTATCTCCTGAGTCCTCCAACAGCTTTTCTGCATGAGACCAGGCTGGTCAAAGGGAGGCCAAATGCATGCCTCCTGCAGAGAGGTACACTTTTAGATGATCCTGATTAAAACCCCTGGGGTCCTCGGCCAAGAGTGACATTTCCTGGAGCAAATCTCCTTTTAGCAAGAGAAGCTGAGTAAAAGTTTCCCGAGGAAGACATAAGTCATAATGACCCCAGGTCTAGAGACAGAGTCTAAAAACAGAAAGCTAATTTTAAATAAAATATAAATACTTTCAGTTCAGGCAGCACTTCAGATCTTCAAAGAATAAAAGCAACTAAGAATACAGTACTGTGACCCACACTGAGGAATCCACAGAAGAGAAGGTGTTGCCCTGGAGCGTGCCACAGCAAGCCAGAGAGTGAAGGTTAAAAACTCCAGCCTGGGAGGCTGGTTTTAAACTACCAGGGAGGTCCAGCCACCCCCTGGAGACTTGAGGAGAGAGAACATTGAGGTACAATATCTGGGAGAGAGATAAGCAAGAGGCCCAGCTTTACAGAGAGGAAACAGCGCCCACTTATTTCATCTAGGCCTGGCCCAGGAAAGGAGAAGACACGAGGAACACTAAAATTTCTAAATAAAGTGAGCTGTGCAACGGGAGTAATGTGGTGAGGGGCATCAGAGGAAGGAGGAGGCACGATGAGGGAAAGAGCAAAAGGGTTCTGGGTTAAAAGAAGTACAAATGAAGGATGACAGCGCTGTCACTAGGGCTATCCCTCCTGCGTGTCTGCACCCCATCATCTCCCCCACCCTCAGCCTTACCTGGCCCAGGATATGCAGGGGCCAGGTAGAAGGGTTCCCAGACAGCGACCCTGCCTTTCCCCAGAGCCTGGACCATACCTGAGGCTCCGGGGACAGATCCTGGGGGACACATGAGGGTTGGGCTGGACGCGTGCGCCCAGATCACTACACAAAGGCACGGGTGGAATTGACGAGGATGGGAGCATTGCTTGGCTGGACCAGCTCGCTGAGGGCCTCGTAGGTCCCCACCACGAAGCCCACGAAGCCCAGGATGCTGATCAGGGCGTCCTTGGCGATGGTGAGGGGGCTCATGCCCTCTGAGTAGTAGGTGGCGATCTCCAGGAGGGGCGGGATGATGAGGGCCAGGGCGCTGCTGCTCACAGAGCCCACCAGGGAGATGACCAGGTCCAGGCGGGGGATGAGGATGGCCAAGATGCCTGCAAGGAGAGAGGACATGCCTGGTCAAGACTGCCCGGGGCTAGGCGGGGTCTCCTCACCGGTCAGCAAATTCAGCACCTGTTCATCTTACAGTGTTCAGGGATAAGAAAATGCAGACATCATCCAGTCCAATCTCCAAGCTATAGATGCCCAGAGGTGTGGAGTAACTGGGTCACACCACAAGGTCAGCAGAAGGGGGAACAGAACCTGGATCTTCAGGCGACATCCCCGGCTTTCAGCTTTCCACGCTACAGTGCACGACTTCCATCTTTCTGAGCAAAAGGAACCAAAGTACATTCTAGGGCAATGTGGTCTCTACCAAAGGAGCAGGGCTATGGAGCAGAAAGGGAGGTGGGCCGTTTCTGAGCAACTGCTTTCTCACCTGAGGGTACCTCCAGCTCGAGCATCTCTGCTTGACTAACAAGAAACAAAATGGCAGAAGGACCCTCCTTCTTCTGGAAAGATACTATACTGTGATAAATCCCATTTCCCGCAGAGTTTTCATACAGGCAAAAAAAAAAAATAAAGCGGTTGTTTGCAGGTTGACCTCTGGCAAAGCCCCACGCAAGGACCGTGTCCCTATGTCAGGACGCTCAGTGGCTCCCACACCTGCCGCTGAGCCACGGGCGAGGGAGGAGGGAGGACCTGCCGAGGACGAGGGGGCACTGCAGTAGGAATCGCCGTCGGCTTCCACACCACGCCAGCCACCGCCAAGGCTGCCAGACGGCACTGACTAAAACAAAGAGCAGAAGGCGTCACTGGGCACGCCCACCCTGTGCCCACGACCCTACTCTTCCCATTTAACTGATCCTCCCATGGGGTGGGCAAAGGCCAGGGCTTCATGGGGTTATTGCAGAGTGTGGGCTCTGGAATTAGATTCTCCTGTTCAGATGCTGGGTCTGCTGCTAACTAGCTGGGTGGCACTGAGGAAGCCGTGGCTCCTTTCTAGTCCCCAGTTTTCGTGTTGGCAAAATGAGGATACTGACTGCTCCTACGTCACAGAGATGCCATGATATCAAATGACGTTACACAGGCACTCAACAAAGGGATGCCATACGCGTTAGTGGCATCATCACTGGTATCCATCTTGTTGGTCGTGAAAAGCGCATCATTAATTTGCTAATAATCAAACACAGTCTGATGTTTGGTCTTTCCCACTGCCAGGCTACAGCTGGATGCCCTTAGCATTGGAACAGCGATCCAGAGCTTATCTGCTGCCCCAATGATTCCCACGAAAGGGTTAATTTGCCATGGTGGGTTTGGTTCTAACTTCATTTTGTAAAGCAAAAGTGTAGTCAAGTCACTCTGAGGAAGGCGCCACGTAGGTGAGACTGCCGGAACATCTCAGCCCCACGCAGCCAATTCCACCTTTAGCGTCGGAATCCATCTCTGCTTCCTTGGCTGAGCACCAGAAGGAAAGGCTGAATTACATTTAGAGACGAGGTTTTATGAGAAACACTTACTTTTCAACCGGAATACCATTCCCCGCAGTGAGATGAGAGGCGTGTCGGAGCCGAGACCTCCCAGGGGAGGACAGATTCCCGTCTCCCGTCTCCCACTTACTCCAGAGCTGTGCTGTCCAACACAGCAGCCAGCAGCCACGGGTGGAATTTACATTTAAACGAATCAAAATCAAATAAATCCTGCTTCTCATTCACACGAGCCACATTTTAAAGGCTCAACAGCCACCGGTGCCTAGTGGCTATTGTACCGGACAGACCGGAAACATTTCCATCACTGCGGAACACCCAGCACTGTCTAGTGGACAGCACCGCTAAGCGCTCAGCAGTTGAGGTGAGTCTGCCTCGGTTACATGGGTATAAAACTCCACAACATTAGTAGTGTCCCCGTGGGAAAAGAGGCCCAGAGGGAAAAATGATAGAAAGTGACAGAGCCGGGACGAGGGTCCAGGACCTCACAGACTGACGAGGGAGGACATGCAGGACGCCCAGGGGAGGAGGGAGGAGGTGGGGCTGGCGGATCAGCAGAAAGAGCCAGCCTGTGAAGAACTGGGGGTGGGAGGGTCAATGCCCAGGGCAGCTTTCCTAGGGACGCCCCAAGTGTTTGGCAGAGAACCCAGATTACGCTCAGCCCTGACCTCTTTCTGCTTTGTCAAAGGGAACTGGACAAGGGTTTCAAAGCCTGATAACAAAGGGGTCCAAGGACATTGAGTCTGAGATCCACCTCTGCCGCGGTTTGGTACCCAGGGGCTCTCCTTCCTTATTCCTTCTTCTATTAATCAACCATAATGCAATGCCCACGAACATCTGCACTGATCTCAAGGCTCTGGAAAGTGTACAAAAAGTGTAGGCTTTTGGCTTGCCCTGCAAGTTAAAAATAGTCTGTTTCAGCTCTTAATTATTTCTAAATAAACGGAGTTTATCTGAGACATCCCCAAACCTTGAGGGTTGAATTTGAAAAAGAAATTAGAGATAAAAATTGTAGGTAGGTGACGAAATGGCTTTCTCACAACGAGTGATCTAATGCTCAACAAGAGCTGATCTGCTGTGTGACCCGGACTAAGACACTTGCCCTCTCTGGGGTCTGGACCTCCCCGTGCGTAAGGTCAGCCTTGCAGTGATGGCTCCGGGTGTTCCACCGGGGTGGAAGCCGCACTGCGGCAGCAGGCAGGGGGACTAAGCCCCAGGGAGAGGGTGGCAGGGGCATGGGGTTAAGAGAGCAGGCTCTGGACTCAGAATGCCCAGGCGCCACAACCCCAGCTCCACCACTACGTGGCTTGTCACTCAAACTCTCTGAGACTCATGTCCCCAACCATTAAATAGGAATGGTCAACTGGGATCACTGATGTACAGAACTTAGAGCACTGAAAGCACATCATAAATGCTCAGCGTTCACTAGTATGACCACCAATCCCTGCTCCATAACAGGCTGTGTGGCCCAGGGCAAACCAGTTCACTGCTTTGAGCCTCAATTCATCTCCCTGTGAAATTATTAATACTGTATTAACACTGATGATCTCTGAAATCTCACCCAACTCTGAAATCCTACGGAACTGTACAATCCAGCTTGTGTCACTTAGGATGTGACCTGGAATATGCTCCTCAGCTCCCTGACAACAGGGGGGCACCGTGTGCTGCTCCAGAGTGGCACAGCCGAGCGACAGGATGCCTTTTCTGGAACTTACGGTGCTCCAAAAAGGTAGCTTCTAGCCCACCTGGCATTGTATCCGTAAAGGAGGGAGTATGAGTTATTCCTCTGGTGCTGGCCACTCGAGCATCCGTCAGACCCACTTATTCTCGGGGAAAATGAGCCCCTGGCAGGAGACCAGTCAGTCAACCTGCCCTGCCCGCCCCAGCCCTGAGAGCCAGTCACCTCCCCACCCACCTCTCATATTAACCTGGGAGGTCATATGGGCACTTCACGAAAGAGTTAAGTGGAATCAGATATGTTCCACTCTGTGATAAGAGTTAAGTGGAAAGAGAAACAGAAGTTTGAGGGGTCAGAATATTTTCTCTGATTAGACAGAGATCTTCCACTTCATCATGATATTTTATAAATAATCTAAAAACTTCTTCTTGTTCTTACTACTATGTAAGATAAGTACGCCTAATAAAAATATTCTTAATAGAGGCCAGGTGCAGTGGCTCATGCCTATAATCCCAGTACTTTGGGAGGCCAAGGTGGGAGGATTGCTTGAGGCCAGGAGTTTGAGACCAGCCTGAGCAATATAGCAAGATCCTGTCTCTATAAAAGTTTTAAAAAATTAGCCAGGCACACTGGCATGTGCCTATAATTCCAGCTATTCAGGAGGCTGAGATAGGAGGATTGCTTGAGCACAGGAGTTTGAGGTTGCAGTGAGCTATGATGAAGCCATTGTACTCCAGCCTGGGCAACAGGGTGAGAGGCCTTGTCTCAAAAAAAAAAAAAAAAAAGAAAGAAAAAGAAAAAAAATTCTTAATAGAGATTTTTATAAAGAGGCAAACATTTTTATTCTCTTAAAGCCAGGACCACAGGGCTACAAAGAGAAGTCCCTCTTCCTGCCCTGGCTGAACTGGACACCACAACTGAACCCTGACAATAAAGAAGGCAAAAAGGGTGAGCCTCCCACTAATACAGTGGGGCAAGAGGAAGAGAAGGATGCCCAAACCAAACTGGCATAGAAAGCCCTCAGAGTTCAACAGCAGAGGTGTCTGTTTTCTCATCATGCAAAATGGCTTTAACTTAATTGCAGAGGCAGCAATCAACTACTTAAAAGGATGCAGGGTAACTAAGACCCCTTCCCGCACTAAATGTCTTTAACTCAATCAGGCAGAGACCTCAGGAAGCAGCCAACTGAGAACACCCCTTACCCCACTCTCCTCTACTTCCCTCCTAAAAAAATCCCCACCCCATCCAAAGAGGAAGACAGCGTATTCCCAACTGCAGTTCCACAGCCCTTGCAGCAGCTTAGCCGTGGTGCGCACAGAAAGGGCGTACTGAGGACAACCTAAGCCAGACCACACGATTAGTCAAGAGGGCTCCAACAGTATTACAACACTGCTTCCCTTCAGGTTAAGAATATGATCTTGACAACTGCTGAAGCAACACGAGGCAAACGGTCATATTCAAAGAAGGAACCGATTGGGATCCTGGAGCTTGTGGTTTTGAACCAGCATCAGAAAGAGCTGACTTATGCATGAGAGAAGAGAAAAGCACTCACAAGAACATACATATACTTCCAGAAATACTTCAGACATTTACAGCTCTTGTGTTGGGCGATTTTTTCTGCTGTTTTGTTAATGTTATGGTCCATGCTGTTCCTTTTAAATGTCTAGATATTGGTCTTTAAAATTAACCATAGTCTTGGACAGATACAAAATTTGATTTAGTGGAGGTATAAATAAAAAAATACAAAAGCAAGAGAAACAACCCACATGTCCAACATTAAAGGAGTAGTTTAGTAAATATGATCCACCGATGCAATGGAATATCATGTAGTCACAAAAATATTAAGAATATGTATATTCATGATATAAGATCAAATAAAATGCAAAAGACAAAGTTATGTGTACACTGTGACTGCAACTATTTTTACAATGCACCCGTGAAAATTAAGACAGAAAATAAAATGCAAAAAACCTGATTACTTTGTTAAGTCAGTAGGACATATGAGAATTTCTTCTTCTTCTTTTATTCCCAAATGTTTTTATATTAACTTTATTTTTTTTAGAGTAATATTTTTGTAGAAATTTAAAATCAGGCCCAAAGTACCTACACAGAATCACAGAATTTTAGAGGTGGGAGAAACCTCAGAGATCAGATACCTTTCCTATCTTACAGCTGAGGAAACTGAGGCCTTGTGAGCATTCCAGGGGGGGGGCCCAAAGGTTGTACAGCTAATTAACAATGCTGCTCTTCTTCACCGCGGCTGCAAGACTAAACGCGTGAAAAGCCAAAAGATGCCAAGAAGCCACTCTGTTTGGACCAGTAAGCTTCATGTTCTAAAAGGTCTGACTAGTGGAATGTTTTGCAGCTCCGTGTTCCAGTTTGAACAGGCCTCTTACCTGATACGGTTTTATGTTATTATATCTTCAATGAAAGGTTTCTGAAATTCTCATACCTAACCCAAGTAAGATGTTTCACGGGGCAAATGCCACAGAGAATTAGTATACATCACTGTAGGACGAATTGTTGCCTCCCAAGGAATCCAAAGAAACAATTTATCCTATACCTCCCGACTCCCCCAGGTGGAGCCAGCTTCTTCCAGATTCTTCTACATAAGGTCGGACATAGTTTGACCTGCTAAGTCTGCATTTCCAAAACTATGGCTGGAAGTAAATATTGTTCCATATGAAATCATAACAAAAAGGGCATCATTCTCTGAAATGCTTGTTTTCCCTTCCCCTCCTCTCCAAAAGTCTGAAATTAAGCACAAAAAAGCAGGCATCAGTCATAGTACTCTTTGAGGGCTGGGGGAGTAGTGGTGAGAAAGCTGAATTCCAAGGTGGGAAAAAACATAAGGCTAGACCAAATCCCCCAATTCTTCTTGGAGATGGAGGGGGAGGAGGAGGAGGCAAGTTGGGGCAAAGATAGGAAAACACCAAAAACTACAATAAAATAGGCTGCCATTAAAATGTATAGGTATAATTGAAAAAAAAAAAAATCAGCTACATCAAAGATCTAACATCACAAACCAATCAAGCTTGTGCCGAAAGCTCTGAAAGGACAGAGGAGCAAGAACAAAATGAACTCCCATAAATACATTTCAGTCAGTGCTACAATGAAATGCCCCTACTGATGCCCACAATTACTTCAAAGTCTCCAGGGAAGGTAAGAAGCGGCCAGAATGCTCTCAGAGATGAAGAGGCTGCCTGCTTTAATAGGATGGCAATGCAATGCTAACTCACAGGAGATCACAGGAGAAAGGAAAGATGACCGCATGCACTTGCAGATCAAAAGCAGCCTGTTTGCTTTGAGCCCTGTGCTGTGGAATGGAGACAGGACCCACGGGCAGAGCCAGGAAAGTGAGGCAAACACCAAGAGGCATCTGAGGATATCACGAGGTCTGCGAATCAGAGACTGCCGCCTCCTGTGGGGCACGGCGGGGACAAACCTGGCAGGAAGTGTGGCATATGCTACAAGGAGGCAAAGCCAGGCTGGAGAGCAAGGCAGTGAGAGGAGTCAGGAGGCCCATGTCACTGCCCCAGCTTGACGGGCAGGGAGCAGGAGCTGTTAAGTCGGCGACAGCACATCTTACCTAGACAGACCTACTTTTTCTAGAGGTGCCACTTTGGGGAAAAAAAAGCAAATTATTTGAACCATCCCCATCCTTTCTTCCAGTACCCTTTGGATTCGAGAATTGGGCCCTCGGAGAGGACATTATAAACACCATACGGGTGGAAGCTGCCTCCTCAACACTCACAGCTGCTCTATCCATGGCGGAAAGCTACACATCTGAATCGAGGCATCAAGAATTGCTGCCACAAGACAGGATTAGACTCTGGAGTCCAAACATCCTCTCTTACCAGCACACATTAAGGCCACTTACTGGAAAGGAGGACATATCACATCCTTTTCAGTTGCCCTGGGAACAGCATCTGGCTTTAGACAGGCCTGGGCCCTGGATTAGCTGCTGTCTGGGCTGTCTCTAGGCTGGTCTCGGAGAGAGCCTAAAGGTCTGATTATGAGTAAATGCTAGACAACATTCACATCTTCCATCCCTAAAACATTTAACACTGATTAAAATAAAAAATCATATAGATCTATCTTTATTCCAAAGACAGAGGCTAGGACTGAATAATTTAAGAAAATTTCCAAGGAAGTCTCAATATAATAAGCAAAGAAGTTCTTGTCCCCCAAAAAAACCTAAAAAAAGAAAAAGAAAGAAAAAGAAAAGAAAAAAAGAGCCAAATAGAGTGAAAAGAAAAATCTATGCTTCAAGCATTTCTATTTGGAAGGCAAATCTCCTTGAAATTTAAATTAGACATTACAGACCAATTTGTTCAGAGATTCTCTAGTCTACCAACACACAGAATCTGCAGAAAATAGGAAAAAAATACTTTTTTAAAATTATAATTCACACTAGTTTTCAACCAACAGCAAATAGGGTGATATCCTGCCTTTTAACTCAAACCCCTTGGCATGGGGTTGGGGGGAAAAGAATAAAACATAAAATGATAAATCAAACACCTAGGTTAATCAGTAGAACTTTTCTAAACATATTTAGTAAGACCAACATCAAAACAAAATCCAAGGAATAAATTGCCACACTGGAAAAACAACTACATGAAAAACTAAACAAACATGCACCCTCTATCAAAGTAACCTGTACCCATTAGAGACAGGGGTTAAACGGCTCTCTTAGACTTTTACCTTGTTTTACAGGGGACAGTAATTGTATGTGTTTGCTCTGAATTATGACCATCTTTACAGCACTTCACACCATATCTATAAACTACTGTCCTCATTCGTGAGTCTTTTAGGGTACATGTATAATTAATTCACTTCGCCATCTGGACGTCCTCAGCTCAGAGAGTGAGATGACGTCAGGTGTTCTGCTCGCACGCTCTCTCGCGCGCGCACCCTGGGGACTGGGTGGGTGCCCTTTGGGAAAAAACAAACAAGGCGATTATCTTGTTTTCTACTCACACGTCAGGCAGACGAGCACGGTGCGCACGAACAGGTCCACCACCAACTCGCAGTGCTCGGGCACCCGGGACACGAAGAAGGGGATGATGATCTCGGCCGGGACGTAGAACTGCAGCGCGTAGGTGAAAAAGATGCCGATGGAGTACAGCAGCTTCACCGACTGGTACAACCTGTCGAGAGAGCCAGGGCACCTTCAGAGCCTGCTCGGCACACTAACCCGTCAGCGGGGAGCCTGCCAGACGGGCCCCACTGCAACCGGGCGACACCTATCGAGGTCATAAACGCACACGTCCCTTGGACCCAGCAATTTCACGTCTAGGAATTTATCTCACAGATGTACCTGTACATGTGCACGAAAGCTTACATTCAAAACATTTCCCTGCAGCACTACGTAAGAAGGAAAGACTGAAAACAACCTAAACTGTAACCAGCGGGGAAGTGGTCAGATAAATCATGGTATCCCCACATAGCTGTTAAAACACAGGCGGCCGAACTCTAGGTGCTATCTCCATGATATACCATTAAGTGAAAAAAGTATGAAGCAATAGTGTCTACAGAGTGCTACGATTTGTCTAAAAATAAACAAAAAGGAAGGGAAAAAAACAGTCCTTCACACAGACATATGACAATCTCACGTCCACTAAGCACCCCAGAAGGAAACATAAGAAACCGGGAATATGGTCGTCTCTGAAATGGAAAACTGTAAAACTGGGGACTGGGGACATGGTTGGGGGTGAAAACTTAATGTTCTGTGTTTACCTTTTGGAATCTTTGTCAAGGGCATATAGTCTTTCAAAAATAAAAACAATTAAAAATACAATTAAAATGTAACAAGCCTATTTACATCCTTCCCCTCCAATTCGGCGCTCCCTAAAATCAGACGATGACTAGGCAGGTCCAAGAGGCAGGAGCAGAATCCGTCTTTCCACTGCACCCAGGCTGCCTTCCGACAACAGCTCCAGGCCCCGTTTCGCAGGGAGACTGTTAACTCACCCTGGGGTTTCCCTATCTTAGCACCCCAGCAGAGGAGAAGTCTGTGATCGATACGTACTTATAGATCTGACTTGGTCGTTAAAGGGAATTAAGCAAAGCTCCACTTCAAACCAGGCACTCATGTGTTAAGCAGCAAGAACCATTTAGCCTGCCTAAATGAAAGCCTGCCTTATTGAAAATCTTTTGAACTGTGGTAACATGCTGTGTGTATAATGTGCACTGAGTTTATCTGTGGCTGAACTTAACACCTAGAGCGTGTTCTTATGCCATAAGCAGGAGAACACCCTCAGAAAGAAGTAGTTTGGTAAAAGGTCTTACTTGCTCAGGCATAGACAATAAAATCTCTTTGGAAAAAATCAGCTGGTGGCTCTATAATTAAACAAGGAACAGCCCCAACACCCTCTGGAGCGCTGCTGCGAAGTCTGGAATCAGGAGAATGACACCTGCAGGGACAGCCAAATAAGCTGCACCCAAATGAAGACAGAATGATTCGAGCAGCAGGGTTTGGGGTGTCAGGAAAAGAGGCAGATGCTCGTCTATGGCTTCAGATCATGTGCACTTCTGCTGCTGCTTCTGATCCATGTATCTTCTGGGGAAAAGTGACACAGTGACACCTAGCTACCACCTGACTCTTCCCTCTTGGAAGGGCAGGAACATTTGGAAAGGTAAAAGCAGGTGGGTATGTCAATTACGCTGATTTGACCATTACACACTGTATCCATGTATCAAAATAACATATTCAATGTTATTTGTATATATGTACAATTATTATGTATCAATTAAAAATGAATTTAAAATAATTAAAAAATAAAAGCAGGCAGCAAAGAAAGACCTTTTGAAAACAATGGCCCACTTCAGGGCTACCACTTGGCTGGCTGTGCAAACTTCATTCCCAGACCCCTGCTGGTTTGGGTGTTCCTTGCTAGAAGTTGGCACTATGAATACATATTTTTCTCAATTTGCTCAATCTGTCCTCGCCCAAAGTCTCACTGACTAGAGGTGTAAAAAGCACACCCAGGCAGATCAGCCAGGCCGGCCTGAGAGGTTATTCTGATCCCCGGGGCACTCCACAAGCTCCTCAGTGTCTGCCAACAGCTGTTCTCCACGATGAATCTTAATCTCCAAAACAGCATGGTTGCTTAGCACACACCCTGTGACACCTACCTCTTTAGACAGCATTTCGCTGTGTCTCAGCGTCTCCCTACAATACGTCCACCAAGGAAAGAGAGGTACAAAAGGACTCCTGGCAACCCCCGGTCCACAGTGAGACACCTGCACATAAGCAACTGCCAAGGGAGGGGCTGGCAGGGGCTGGTGACTAAACACAGGTTTGCTCCCCTCTCTCCCCATCTACTTGGAATAGTATAAAGTGAGCCGACTGGACACTTGGCTCTTCTGGGCTTAGGATTTCCCAGGAAACAAATGGTCTATCAGTCAGCTGATCAACCAGTGGCCTTGGCAGCAGTGCCCACAGACCTCTCACCCAAGCACAGTGGCAGCAATGGGGGCTGGCGGTGGCCTGGGGGCTGGTAGCAGCAGTGGGCTGGAGTCGAGTGGGCTGATGTAAGAGGTCAGTAAGAGGAAGAACCCACACTCTGACCCATTCATTTTTGAAGATACCCAGTGCTGGCCGGGCGAGGTAGCTCACGCCTGTAATCCTAGCACTCTGGGAGGCCAAGGTGGGCGGATTGCTCGAGGTCAAGAGTTCGAAACCAGCCTGAGCAAGAGCGAGACCCCATTTCTACTATAAATAGAAAGAAATTAATTGGCCAACTAATATATATAGAAAAAATTAGCCGGGCATGGTGGCGCATGCCTGTAGTCCCCAGCTACTCGGGAGGCTGAGGCAGAAGGATTGCTTGAGCCCAGGAGATTGAAGTCTGGAATCAGGAGAATGACACCTACAGGGACAGCCAAATAAGCTGCACCCAAATGAAGACAGAATGATTCGAGCAGCTGGGTTTGGGGTGTCAGGAAAAGAGGCAGATGCTCGTCTATGGCTTCAGATCATGTGCACTTCTGCTGCTGCTCCTGATCCATGTGTCTTCTGGGGAAAGGTGACACACTGACACCGAGCTACCACCTGAGAGCTAGGCTGACACCATGGCACTCACTCTAGCCTAGGCAACAAAGCGAGACTCTGTCTCCAAAAAAAAAAAAAAAAAAGATACCCAATGCTCCTGGGTTTCCCTCCTCCCTCTCGTACCAGCAGTTGGGCAGGTTGAGGGTTATGCTGCCTTTGATACTGGATCCAAATTGCAGGTACCCCAGACACCCCAGGCTGATGTAGAGGGCCGTGACGATGACCATTCCCACGTACAGGATGAGTGGAAATTTCTGGGGATCCTTCATTTTGTTCTCAAGAGGCAGAACCTATGAGAGAGGAGAGAAAGCACAGGAAAAAAAGAAGCACAATTAATGGCCAACAAAAAAATCAACATCCTCAGGAAAAAGTAACTTCTTTATCCCCAGAATTCCCCCAAAAGCATATCTGTCCTTTACTAGACGAGCACACAGATCAAAGTTATTTCCTCAGAAGTTATACTCTCGGGACTGGAAGGGATCCCACAGCCCACTGCCTAACCAGGATGTCCTAAGAGGCCAGGCTGGGGCAGGGCTGGAGCCCAGAGTCCTGCCCCAGGCCGCACTCTGTCCTCCCGCCGCAGGAGCCCTGCAGGCTGGCAGTGTCCTTCGCTGCGTGAGTGCAGCCTCGGGGTGACCAGAAGGGCCTCTCACTCACGCAGGCCCACCTGGCATCTAGCCTGAGATCCCAGCTTCCTGCTAACCTGCCTAAAGTGAGCAAAATATAGGTCAGGGAAAACTGCCACTCTAGCTCAACAAGGGCAGGTACCAGCAGAAACAAGTAGAAGCTCCAAGTTAGAGAAACGGAGGTGCAGGCGACGGCATGACTTAGTAGAGGGCCTCGAGACTTGGGTACTTAACAAAGCCCAGTTTCCAGACTCCTGTTTCAAACCACTGACCTTTGCTGCCTCCTTCATCCCCGCAGGAGACATTCTTTAAGTTTGGCAAAAGCAAAAGAAAGACCCTTCATGCAGAGAAGGTCACAGGGCTGGGGAAAAGAGTGGGTGTGATTGTGACGGTCCTCACAACCGGCCATCACCTGCACTTGATCTGGCAATGGATGACAAATACCAACATAGGGCAATGTCTAGCTGCCCCACGAACTCTCTTTGATCTTGTCATTACACTCATTTTCCTATAGCACCTGTGGCCACGAGGCACAACAGATCTGTGTCGTACATACCCAGCACCGCGACCCTGCTGCAGGCCCAGTGCTCCGAGCAAGCTCTGCGGCTCCCTCTGGCCCTCAGCGTCCCCCGCCACCAGCTCTAGGGTCTCAAGCTGCAGTTAACCCACGTCCACTGGAAACAGCTTCGAAACTTACCCATCAGTTTCCTTCGTACCAAGAGTACAAAGAACCAGAGGGCAGGTGCCCATCTCCCCCATGTCCTATCTCAGGCCTGGGACAGTAGCATAAACCCAGAGAGCAGCATGAACACACAGTGTGCAGCCCGGTGCTTCACCCTGACATGCTGGACAACCCTTCAATCTGGAACTAAAAGTCACTCCCGAGGCCTCACCTAGGATGTCAGAGCCTTGACATGTTCCATCAACATCACCTAGGTGATTCCTCAGGACTTTGACAAAAAAATCTGTCCAGCTTCTAGGTTTTCTTAAAAGTAAAATAAGGTGCTAGGAAGATCAAGGGGGAGAAAAAGAAATCCCATGAAAGGAGAAGGGTCTTCCCATTGTCAAACTGTTGGCCAGGAGAGCTACTAACTTTCTTGGGAGAAGAATTCTGTACCTTTCTTATATATTAAAAAAACAAACAAACAAATAAAAATCAAATTAGGTACAACTGAGTAGAAGATTCCTCTTTAGGAAAAAAATTTGGTGAAATCACAGCAACGATGAGGGAAGCTGAGCCAGGCGTGACATCACACCAATGTTCCCGGGCAGAGAAATTACTCATATGTTTACTGACTTAATAAAAATCAATAACATTATTAATAAAAGTAAAAATTTATTAAACATTTACTGTGTGTCAGGGACTGTGCAAAGCAGTTTGCACATACCTCATTTGATTCTAACAACTGCTAATCATTAAGCTCACTTTTTAGGAGCAAACAATAAAGGCTCAGAGAGGTGTCCTTGCACAAGGTCACACAGCGACTCTTTGCAGAGCCAGGACTTAGTCCCACATCAGTCCGACTCCAGACCCTGTGCTCCTGATTGCCAAGTACCCTTGCTTACTGTGCACACAGGAGATGAATGTGCAGCGGGGAGGTCTTGAGTATAAACATTAAAATTACATATAATTTATCTTCAAAAGTTGAAACTGGAAAACTTCAATGGAATCCCTGAAACACTATACATTAACTGGCCGGTAAGTCTCAGAAGATAATTTCTAACAGTGTTTCCTTAGCATCCCTTGAAGCTGACCTTGAGGACACTGAGTGCCCCAGAGAACACTGGCCCAAACCACAGCGCAACTCTTACCATCCCGATGCCTTCAAATGCAAAAATGGCCGTGCCAAAGAAAAGAGGGTAGGTCTTCCAGGGCGCCACCAAGGGGAGGTGGCTGGGGTCTGGGATCCCCTGAAAGAGAAAGACAACAAAGCAAAAGGCTATACAGAGATTCGACCTTTGAACCCCAATCAGAGAGGTCATGACTTTTTAATAAATACAAGATTCTCTAAAGGGACAAAAGTCTGATACCTGACAGATGATTTGGGGACATTTAGACTTCATATTTTTTTCCTCTTCAGTCTGAGAAAACCCTACTTATCTTAGAGAAAGACTAGCCCAATGTTTTATTAAAAACTCAAACTTGGAGTTTGCATAAAAAGAGTCATGTTCTCTCACTAGGTAATCCCATTCCCAGAAATTTAATCCAAGTAGAAAAAAATCAAAAGATGAAAAACGTTGAGCAAAGCATAACAAAGTAACTGGAAACAACCTAAATGCTCCCAAACAAGTGATCAGTTAAGTCATTAACCACACAGCAGCATTACAGAATAGTATGCACTATTAAAAAGCAAAAGTTGCAATAACTAAGTAAAACATGAAAAACTGCCTATGAAATAATAGTGAGAAAAATTTTTTTGATTTATATATTCACTATGATACAACTATGTAACACCCACGCAAATAAAACTGGAAGGTAAAGGAAAAGTAGTGAATTTTTATCTTTTTATTATTATTTTTTTTGAGACAGAGTCTCTTGCTCTGTTGCCTGGGCTAGAGTGCCATGGAGTCAGCCTAGCTCACAGCAACCTCAAATTCCTGGGCTCAAGTGATCCTCCTGCCTCAGCTTCCCAAGTAGCTGGGACTACAGGTGTACACCACCACACTTGGCTAATTTTTACTATTTTTAATAGAGAAGGGGTCTCACTCTTGCTCAGGCTGGTCTCGAACTCCTGAGCTCAAACGATCCTCCTGCCTTGGGCTCCCAGAGTGCTAGGATTACAGGTGTGAGCCACCTTGTCCAGCCAGTGGTGAAGTTTTAGATTGGTTCTTTTTTTTGAGACACAGTCTCGCTTTTTGTTGCCCAAGCTAGTGTGGGTGCTGTGATGTCAGCCTAGCTCAAAGCAACCTCAATCTCCTGGGCTCAAGCAATCCTACTGCCTCAGCCTCCCGAGTAGCTGGGACTACAGAAATGTGCCACCATGCCTGGCTAATTTTTTCTATATATATATTAGTTGGCCAATTAATTTCTTTGTATTTATAGTAGAGACAGGATCTCACTCTTGCTCAGGCTGGTTTAGAACTCCTGACCTTGAGCAATCTGCCCACCTCAGCCTCCCAGAGTGCAAGGATTATAGGTGTGAGCCACCGCACCTGGCCTAGATTGGTTCTTTTCCTTTTTTCTCTTTTTTTTTCTTCTTTTAAAAATTCTTAGTAATTAGTTTGAATACTTGGAAAACAGTACCGAGAGGCACACAATAGGAATGTTGGACTATTTAGAAAAAAATAGCAAAAAGAATATTTTAATAAGCAGGCAGAAAACCCCACAAGGCAATTGTTAACTGCAGGTACAATATAAGGGTGTACAAGCAAGGAGGTATGGTCACAAAATCCTCCACTCAACAACCAATAATAGACTGAGTGAGAGGAGTTGGGGGGAGGGCAGGTAGGTCAAAGGCTGCTGTCCTTTTCAAATCTGGCTTTTTAAACCATTTACATACATTGCCCAGATTCAAACAACAATCGGTTTTAAAATGGTCTTTTATAATGTTTTAGAATTGATTTAACTATAATATTTAGGTATTTAGATAAATACAAAGTATGCTGTAACAGGGTGACAGAAGAGTATCAGGTGAACAAAAGGAAATTTATTATTAATCTCTATAACAGGCTTCTCTTTAAAAGATTTCAAAACAACTATACTACAGTCTTTTGAAATATAAAAAATAAAAATAAATACTTTCCTTTGGACTCCTGCTGAGAAATGTTAGACTTCTTTAAAAGAAGCATTTCAATACCTGGAATGAAGACACACTAATAGGTACATTTGCTTTACAATGAGACATTAGAGAAGATTGTTCTGTAACTATTCCTGAGTCACGAATGTAACGTAAGTTCTTGGAAATAGGTGCTATCTGCTGGTTAGTGGATAACTGCTGCCCAGGACCATACGTCACACCAGGTGGAGGTGTCGGGTAGGGAATTTCACAATACATGTCTGGGAACACTGTGGGAATAACACTAACTTAAGAAATATTTAATTCTATATACTTACTGATTGCTAAGTACTTATAACACAACCAAGAGGGATTGATTCACAAAGAAACATACGAATTAAAATCAGCGCATTATCAATAGAGCTCCCCAGTTCTGCAATATAGCCAGCCCTCACTTCACATTGTCCATAGGTTCTTGGAAACTGCGACTCCACCTGAAACAACACACAGTCATTCTCTTCAACCTCATTTCATTACAACATCAATGAGGGGAAAAAACGATTTCATAATATGTCATTTCCAAGAACCTATTGATGACGTTAAGTGAGGACTTACGTCAATTACGATAATAACCACCGCTCTTCCAGAAAATGCTGTTAAGTGTACATGCGGAGTGTGAGATGTACTCCAACTTTGGAACCATTACAACTGTGAAGAAGCGCGTCTCAGAGTTAAGGACACGCAGTGATAAAACATGGATTGGGAGGTCCCTCTGGGCAAGGCACCCTGCCCAGAACGGTGCCACTCATCGTCACTCCACGTGCTGAAGACACAGGGAAACCATCAGGTGGAAGACCCTGGCCTGCTTCCTACAATGGCATGTGCATGAGGAACAAGAATATATACTAATATCAGACCCCCACATGCTGAGAATTAGGGAAAACATTCAGAAACATCAGACGGCCGGGGAATGCTCACTTCGGGAAGCAGGGCAGAATGCCGATACTGAGCAGTGGCAACAAGCAGCAGCAACCAAAATGACCCAGAGGGAGCATCTTTAGCTGTAGACCACACAAAAATGAAGGTGTCACAACACTGGGCAGTGACCATACCAACACAGAGCCAAACCTCCTCCCCTGCGCTGCACCCCGGCAGACAGCACTACTTCGTCACCGCACGTGCTGAGCCCAGACGCAAGAAAGCAGCAGGGCTGCGTCTAAGCACAGACGGTGCTCTGGAGGGACACTGCCAGTCACCTGGGACGGAGGCGCTACAGGAACCCGCATTCTCAGCCCAGCCCTCTGATCCCGGCAACCGCTGCAGTCTAACTGCCTGCCACAGTTTAAAGTTAAATGTGGCACGTGTGCCTGTGTACAGGAGGTAGCCTCACCGACCTCATCTTTAATGTCCATCGGGGTATATCCCAGGCACTCTTGAGAGCTCTGATTACAATGTGAAATCATGGTTTATTTACCCTTCCTTGTCTGATAATGGAAATGGTCGATTGTGCATTCATAGGCCCTCCTTCCAGTCCCATAAAAAACGGGACATGTCCACATTAGTATAGTGGTGAGTAAAAAAATAAAAGATTAAAAAAAGTGGGATATGGAGAGCTGTTTATTTTATGCTTGAAAAAATAATTCTGCAGAGGAGTCAATATCTGCCACTCATCTGACTTACCACAACAAGGAAAACACAGCAAATGATCGCTGAGGACAACGTTCATCTCAATTCATAATGTCATTTCCTTAGCACAGGCAGCCCCTGGTTTTTATGACTCACTGTTCTCCTAGAAACCACAGCGTGGGTGACTGGGTCACTATTAAGCAGACTGTGCGCAAATGGAGTAACATGCACCTGTCAGACTGACCAAATTAAAAAGATTGATTTATCCAGTGTTGGCAAGGGTGGAAAAACAGATACTTAGATGCTGCAGAAGGGAGTCTCTATGAAATGAGTACATAGTTTTTGGAAAAAGGAACTTGGCAATATAAAACATCCAAAAGTGCATGCTCTTCAGCAATTACTCCTCTAGTTGTCCACAAAAAGCTTTCTAGGTTAATATACCCAGTTCCGCTTCATTCTTTTTAGTTGGTACATACCATCACAGACAACAGCTGTTCCCCCATCAGTCTACTATCAGATCATTTATAATATTTACTATTAAGTGTTAAGACAGTGAATGTCCTTATGCATTTCTTTTGTGGTACTCAAGAGGCACTTGTAGTGTCTGCATTTAATGAATAGGCATTGATGAATTATTTGGGGAATTAAATTTAAATAGCTTTTTTTAAGTTATACTTGTATTTGCCTGCTTTTATGTTTTTCCTCTTCTCAAGGCTTGGCAAAATGCATTGTCTTTTTCACAAACAGCCACACGTTTAAGGGCACATTTTTCTCAGCCTAATCTTCCACTCATCTCCATACAGATGTTTTCTCTCACAGTACCTCACAGACCTGCCCACAAAGGCTAACTGAGGTGGGGTACAATAAATGAATTTATAATTTTGACAAATAAATATAAAACTGGAGTTGGTAAGGAATTACTTTATCTAAATATAAATTAGAAAAAAAAAAGATTTCTATTTTCATCTTAATATCTTTCCCCACTTTCTAATTGTGTGCAATGATCACGTGTTAACTATCTAATTGGAAAAAGGCTAAACCAGTGATCTTAATGGGGGTGATTCTCAGGGACTTCCGGAAAGATGTGGAGACATTTTTAATTGTCACAAGTGGGGGTGGCTGCAGTTAGCACCTAATGGGCAGAGACCAGGGACACTGCTAAACATCCTACATTGCACAGGACAGTCCCCACAGATAACTATCTGGCCCAAAACGTCAACAGTGGGGAAGTGAAAAACCTCTAACCTAAATATGCCGTAAGTCAGAGGTCCCCCACCTTTTTGGTACAAGGGACCGATTTCATGGAAGACAAGTTTTCCACAGACGGAGGCAGTTGTGGGAGTGGGGAGCACTCAGGTGATGATGGGAGCAATGAGGAGCAGCCGTAGATACAGATGAAGCTTCGCCCGCCCACCTGCCTGCCACTCACCTCCTGCTGTGCGCCTGGTTCCTAGCAGGCCTCGGACTGGCACCAGCCTGCGGCTCAGGGGTTGGGGACCGCAGCCCCAAGTAACATATAACTATGTTACACTGACTTGTTTGGTTTGTTTCCTTGCTATTTAACAGGAGGACGGGGGAGAGCCCAGGCTGGTACCTGCACAATGAACTGGAAGATCATGACCAGGCTGACCAGCATGCTGATGTTGGCCAGCAGGGAGAAGATGGACAGGGCTCGGAGGTTCCTGACGAAGACCAGCAGCACCAGGAAGGGCAGGAAGGAGAGCATGTAGAGTCGCGAGTCCATGGTGGGGGTCGCAATCACCGTCTCGTTGCTATGGCAGTTGTTGGTGGTCCCATTAGCCGCTTCTATCACCTAGAATGCGGAGAAGGGAGGTAAAAGGAAAAGCGACCCAGCCGAGACAATGGCCAGTGATCTCCGGCTGGGAGGATCTCTTCCCATTCTCTTTCTCTCTCTTTTATTTTTTAACTAGGACCCTACCTGTTTGAAATTGTCAGCCAGAAACACAAAATAGACACAGCAGAATCCCAGCTGAGTGACAATCAGGAAGAAATCCACAATGTGCCTGGAGATGGGGAAGGAAAGAATACAAAGATCATTACAATATAAAATGCAGGACTCCTGGAGGGACCAGTGTTTTAAACAGTGCTTTTTCCCAAGCCATCACAGACCATTCCCAGCAGGTGACAAAGATGAGCATGCCCTGGTAAAAGGAGGAGCTATGCTAGGTGCCACTGGTCTGGGGCTTCTGGAAGAAGGTGAAGGAGGTGCTCTCTGTGTGGTCTCTGAGGTCCCCTTCCTGGCATACAGACACCCGACCAGCCCAGCCCCTTGGCATCCCCACTGCCCACCTACCATCTATCCCACTCCACACCTTTTTCCTAGAGCTACTCGACCAATATAAGACATCAGGACGTGGACCCCTTCACCATCTCTTTCTAGAACTTGGATCCAAGAACCAACCTAGTCTCGCTTAAGTACATAGAAACAGATGTACCAAAACAGATTGCTGGTTGAACAACTACAGCTGGTAACAACCTAAAGGGCCATCAAAAGGAAAGTGATTATTTCCATTCTTAAATGGGACATTACACAGCAGTTAAAAAGAATGTGTTAAATGCATATGTGCTGACAGAGAAAAATGTCTCAGACATTTCAAGGAGATACTATATATGTTACTATTTTCCGATAACACACATAGTATGGTCAATTTATGCAAAAACTTTTAAAAACATATATATGTTTACATAGGTACAGGAAATTACAAAAGGATACCCATGCAACTGTGACCAATATTTACTTTTACCTTTCACTTCATGTCTTGATCAAAAAAATGCTTTTACTATGAGCACACATTTAAAAAGTGCACATTTTACTAAAAGAAGGAAAGGAAGGGAGGACAGGAGGAAGGAACCAAGCATGGGAGAAAGGAAAAAAGAAAAAAAGAGAGAAAAAAAAAAAAGAAAGGAAAAAAGAAGTAACAACCAACCAACTTATAGTGTTGATTTGGAAATCTGGCTTCTCCCAGTCACAGAAAATAATTTTGCCAAAAGACTTATATAATCTGCATCACAAGATGAAGCTATGAATGCATGTGACAGTTTCCTCTATGATCACAAAAAGGAACTTTTCTAGAGAACATAGTTTTCATGTGGCTCAATGTTTTAAAAAAAGGATTTCAGCCCATGATGTTATCAATTTCCTACATCTAGATATAAGGGGGGAAAAAGCAGAGTATCCCCCTCCACGCATCTGAAAAATTACCATAAGGAGAAGCTTCCAGACACTCCTACCCTGCTCTCGCTCACCTCACCTCCTCCTCGAAGCCTTTCCTTCTCCTGTCTCCCCTGTGTGCTTCTCACCTGGCACAGCCAGACGACAGAATCTTTAACGTTCCTCCCACTCTGAGCACCGAGGATGTGTCCCTAGCTCATGACACTTTCTTCCTATTGGCGTCTGATCCCATCTTGTTCTCTTCCCACACATCTTTCTCCTCACACAGACTGCAAGCCCCTGGAGGGCGAGGACCACATAATTTACTGCAGAAAATCCCCCCCCCCCCCCCCCGTCTATTAAATAGAACTGTTTTCTTCCACTTATAAGACAGTACTTAAGTATATTTGTTGAACGAACGGTGAATCAAATACAGTCACTGGTCAAAGACTGCCAAAGCTGGAATGGACCTTCGAGACCTTTCAGGCCAGGCCCCATGATTTCCTGATGAGGAAACTGAGAACCAGGGAAGGGAGGGGTCACCCAGCTCACCGCCAGCTGAACTGAGGTAGCACCCAAGTCCACTGACTTAAACAACATTCTTTCCATTCCTTACACAGTCTCCCACATCACACCTCCACACTGGGAGGCCGAGGCTAGGAGGAAAGAGGAAACGAGTTACCTTCCCCAGTGTGCATGGTTCCGGAGACAGGAGCAGGGGCTGGATTCTAGTCCATACATCACAGTGTCCCCATAGTCCACAAAGGATTTGTTCAGTCTGGGGGAAGGGGAGCAAGAGAGGAAGATCTGAGCACGTGGGTTAGACCATAACAATGACAGAACAAACTCAGCCACCAAGACCTGGGCCAACTCCCCATCTGGCACCCTGGAGGTAGCACTCTGAGTCCTGTATCTGATGCTTTCAAGCATCAGAAGTGTTAAGTTGATGGGATGGTTACTGTCATTGCAATGAACAAACCATCTGGTGATTAGAATGTGGTGTGTATCCACTGGATATAAGAAAACTTAACAGATGACAATGAGCCCAGAAAGATCACAGCAATCGCCCGGGGAAGGGAACGCTGCAGCAGTGAGCAGCCACCTCCAGCGAGTGCCAGGCGCAGAGAGTGGTTGCCTAAGTGCTGGCTTTTCAAGGTTGGTAACAACACCCCAAAGGACAGTCCGCCACTCGAGAGGTGGCTCAGAGGGCTCTCACCTGTGGCAGAAGTGGTGAGCACACTTCACCAGGATGCCCATGCAGTGCACGGCCACGATGCCAATCACCAGCAGGCTGAGGGGGCCCATCTGGGGACAGGCATTGCAGGCAAAAGGAGGAGAGACAAACAGGCAGGATTAGGGGTGAGCTCAATCACAACATGATTTGCAAACGATGAGAATGCTGCCTTAGCACTTTCCACTGACAAAACTTCTCTGAGAAAGAAATGTGATCGCAGAGATAGGCTCCGTGAGATGAACTTCGAGAGATTTAATCTCGTGGAGAAGAACACAAGATAAGTCTGTTCTGAGACTGTGGCCGGCCAATGAGCAGACGGGAAGCTCTGGTGACTCTGGGAAGAAGGGATGGGCTAAGGGATGTGGGGGGACGGGGGGAAGTTATCTCTGGAGAAATGCCAGATCAAGACAGACTGCATTTAGCTGAGAATAAGCCACATCTCTGTGCCACCTTGAAAAGAAACCAGAATGGCTTTGGACAGGCAGTCTATAGGAGGTGAATCATAAAAAGAAGACATAAGATTCTCAGAGTTGGCCATTTAGGGCTGGCACGTGGAAAGGGCTGTGTAGAAAATGAACAGACATTTGTTACTAACTCATTAGTTCCTATTATGGACAGAAACTGCCTTGAGCCATTTTAAGTACATTGTCTCTGCCACTAAGTGAGCTCCACAAGGGTGGGAATCTTTGCTTAATTCACGGACATGTTCTAAGAGCCAAGAGCAATGCCTGGCACACAGAAGACTCTCAATAGATATATCTTTAGATAAATGAATGTCTGAATTTTGCTTTTTCTCAGCTGAATTAAAAAAAATATTTAAATGGAGTAAAATTTAAAAACAAACAAAAAATTATCTCCCAAAATGTGTCACAATACTTCCCTCCAGCGATGCAGACCCTTACCAAGATGCCTGCATTTTTCACTGCCAGAGGCAGCCCCAGGAGTCCTGTGCCAATGTTGCCTTTTAACAAGTGGATCAAGGTCTGGAACCATCTGGAGTGGAAAGAAGATAAAGGGAACATTAACCATCATGAGAGCTCTCACTGAGCACTTAGCACCATGCTAAGCGCTTACATGCATTACCTTATTTGATTTCTAAAACAACCCTCTAAGATTGTATTTTATGGATGATGAAGCAATTTGCTCACGGTCATGCACCTAGTAAAGATCTGAGCCAGGTTTCAAACCCAGGCGATCTGATCCCAGAACTCACTCCCATCCACCGTGCTTTGTAAGCCTGCACTCTCTGCGGCATATTGAGTTAACTGCAGTGGCGAAAATAAGGTGCAGATCTCGGTCTCTAGAAATGAATAATGTCTCAAGGAAAACATGGGGATGCATTAGTAACCCCCAAAGACAGAAAGATCCCTGTCTTTAAGAAAAGCCCAGGAACAGAGCGCAGGAAGAAGGGAGGCAGGTGAGGCTGTGCACAGAGGAGAAACCCGGGCTGAGCCCAGCAGGACGGGCAGGATCTGCACACGTGCTGCTGGGGGAGAAGACACCTCTGGCAAAGGGGAGGGTCTGGGAACACGACCCCAGAAAGACACGTGGGGCACGGACCAGAAGGAGTAGTACTTGGGTTTAGTGGCCACTCGAGTCAGGGTGAGGTGAAGGTGCAGTGGGCAGGGAATTTCTCTTTTTTCTACCAGGATTGGAAACTCATCAAAGGATTGACAGCAGAGGAGTGGGCTTGTCTTTAGCATTTTCCATCCTTCATTACCTCCAGATGGATAGGAAACAGGTCAAATACGGCATTACTTTGCCCCAAATCACTCAGAAAGTCTTTTGGTCTTCCTGCTGTCCCCAACCTTTTTGGGAAAGATCAAGGGAATTACTTCCAGTCTAAGTGAGAAGAGGTTAAGTGCTCTCCTGCCCATCCTGAGGCCTGCAAGAGCCCATTATCAGTAGCAGGATAATGGCCTATTAAATTTCTATCATAGCAAATGTGTAATCCACTTAAGGGCAAAGGTAAGCATTATACCAAGCCCACTGCCTACCAGAGACCTCCTGGGAGATGGGTCCCTTTGGCCCAAGCTCTGCCCTCGCTTCCAGAAGACAAATCCCTCCCTCCCTTCTCTGGCCCCACTGTCTGCTCGGTAAAGACAGAGGTCTTTATGGAAATCTTCTCCACGGTGCCTTCAGCTCAAACACCAGGATTCTAGGCAGTTTGCCACGACGACTCTTTTTAATAGATGGCCCCAAGCTGGGATTACCCAACGCTATGTGAGTATCACAGAATCAACTTCATGGACTGCACAGTCTTAACTGCAAGGGTGGACTACCTTTCGGGAAAGGGAAAGGAGGAGCCCAGATCTCTTGAGTTCCATTTATGCTCCATCAGTAGATTTTGGACTTGCTGGTCTAAAGACCAGAATTTTATTCTCTGATAAATTCTCTGACAAGGGTCCTGAAGAATTTTTCAGAAAAAAAAAAAAAAGATCTTTTTTAGATTTGGGATCTTTTTTAGATTTGGTTTTTATTGTAGAGCACACATATCAGGGCAAAGTGCTGCACACACAACTACAAATCAGGGGTCCTGATAAAGGGGTCCTGAGACCAGAGATGATGCTTATGGGGATTGCACCTGCTGATGTATACTATATTAAAAAACTAAAACTGAGAAACTTTAAAGATAATTAAAAATAACAAGTTCATTTCATGTTAATATAAATAACATTTTTTAAATGAAAAAGAACTCCATTTTCCAAAAAAGAAAATGTGAGAAGAATGGTTCTGTCTTACTTCCCCCCTCCCAATCCCCCAATTCTCTTTAATGTCTCACATAACAGGAGACAGCTGGATTACCTGCTTCGAAATTCAATCTACTGTGATACATTGTTTCGGTTGAAGTATATGAAAAAAATGTATTCTCTCATAGACATGGAATTGGAAAAGGAAGGAGTATTTTAATAGCCTCTTCAGACAATTATGGAAATTTTTCTTTGACACTACTCTAAAATGCAACACATGATAGTTTCTTAGAAGTTGGCTGCAGTGTGGAAGCTGAACTTTTCCTACTCTATTACGTGCAAATCCATTGACGGTCTTGCTCTTTTGACGGGTCTTTACCCACACACGATTTCCTGACATCATCCTTTGGTCCCCTGGAAGATGTAGGTTTCCTGAATTATGCAAATCTTCCAAATGCTAGCATCTTTCATTATACAATATCAAAAAATCACATTCATTAGTATCACCGCTGATCTCACCAGAAAAGTCTTTAAGTAGAGGGAAGCCATCAAGCTCCTGGGGCTGGACATAAGTTTTTTTCCCAATTTTGCTTGAAATCTCAAATTTTATTATGGGTAACAATGACATATTTTTGATTGTTTTTCTTGAGGTGACAGGCTTTCTTCATTCGTTTTCAAGAAAATGTCTACCAAGTACACAGGTCTGAATAACTTATAGTTTGTCAGTTCCTTCTAGTAAAAATGTGTTCTATGAAAAAAAAAGGCAGCAAGTTCAGTTAACAACTCAATCACTCGAGGTCTTTGCCTTGAGACAAGCATCATACTTCAGTATGTGCTAAAGTGCTTCATGTGTTCTTCCCATTTTGTCACAGAGTATTAGAAGACCTGTACTGAAGGGTCATGATTTTAAAAAATTAGTAATCTGATTGTTTCATGACATTATTTTTTTTCCTTCATTTTTTTTTTTAGAGACAGAGTCTCGTTCTGTTGCCCAGGCTAGAGTGCCGTGGCATCAGCCTAGCTCACAGCAACCTCAAACTCCTGGGCTCAAGCGATCCTCCTGCCTCAGCCTCCGGAGTAGCTGGGACTACAGGTATATGCCACCATGCCCGGCTAATTTTTTCTATATATTTTTAGTTGGCCAATTAATTTCTTTCTATTTTTAGTAGAGAAGGGGTCTCACTCTTGCTCAGGCTGGTTTTGAACTCCTGACCTTGAGCGATCCTCCCGCCTCAGCCTCTCAAAATGCTAGGATTACAGGCGTGAGCCACCACGCCCGGCCGTTTCATCACATTCTTAAGCAAAACTTGCTTTTCTGTTTACGCATGTGTGACAGTGAAGAATAGGTAATTTGGTGCCATTGCCACAACTCATGCTATAGTGCCTGTAATTTTACCCACCATTGCTTCTACATAATCAGTGCAAATATCAACACAGTGAAAAAGCAAACATCATCTTAGTACTATTACAAAGATAGTTTTGACCTCATAGACTTCTTGAAATGGTCTTGGGAACCCCAAAAGGTCTGCAGAACACATTTTGCAAACAACTGCTCCAGGTCACCTAGAGAAAGCCAGCTGCAGTCAGCTGGTATTTCAACCTGCCAGTCTGGGGAAGAGTCACTGCGGCTCAATCAATAGCCAGTAAAATGGCACTCAGAAGGGCAACAGAAGAAAAATCTGCCCGATAGCATTAAATGAGGTTATCTCCAAAGCAGTCAATAGTTTGAGGGCATCATGTGTTAGGAAATAACCTCACTAAACACACCATCATTGGCCGGGCGCTGTGGCTCACGCCTGTAATCCTAGCTCTTGGGAGGCCGAGGCGGGTGGATTGCTCAAGGTCAGGAGTTCAAAACCAGCCTGGGGAAGAGATCCTGTGTGCTTCTCACCTGGCACAGCCAGACGACAGAATCTTAACGTTCCTCCCACTTGAGCACGAGGATTGTGTTCCTAGGTCATGACACTTTTCCTATTGGCGTCTGATCCCATCTGTTCCTCCCACACATCTTCTCCTCACACAGACTGCAAGCCCCTGGAGGGCGAGACCACATAATTACTGCAGAAATCCACCACCCCCCCCCCCCGTTATTAAATAAGAACTGTTTTTTCCACTTATAAGACAGTACTTAAGTATATTTGTTGAACGAACGGTGAATCAAATACAGTCACTGGTCAAAGACTGCCAAAGCTGGAATGGACCTTCGAGACCTTTCAGAGGCCCATGATTCCTGAGAGAAACTGAGAACCAGGAAGGGAGGGGTCACCAGCTCACCGCCAGCTGAACTGAAGTAGCACCACAGTCACTGATTACAACACTCTTTCCATTCCTTACACAGTCTCCCACATCACACCTCCACACTGGGAGGCCGAGGCTAGGAGGAAAGAGGAAACGAGTACCTTCCCAGTGTGCATGGTTCCGGAGACAGGAGCAGGGGCTGGATTCTAGTCCATACATCACAGTGTCCCATAGTCCACAAAGGATTGTTCAGTCTGGGGAAGGGAGCAAGAGAGGAAGATCTGAGCACGTGGTTAGACCATAACAATGAAGAACAAACTCAGCCACCAAGACTGGGCCAACTCCCATCTGGCACCCTGGAGTACACTCTGAGTCCTGTATCTGATGCTTCAAGCATCAGAAGTGTTAAGTTGATGGGATGGTTACTGTCATTGCAATGAACAAACCATCTGGTGATTAGAATGTGTGTGTATCCACTGGATATAAGAAACTTAACAGATGACAATGAGCCCAGAAGATCACAGCAATCGCCCGGAGGAGAACGCTGCAGCAGTGAGCAGCCACCTCCAGCGAGTGCCAGGCGCAGAGAGTGTTGCCAAGTGCTGGCTTTCAAGGTTGGTAACACACAAGGACAGTCCGCCACTCGAGAGTGGCTCAGAGGCTCTCACCTGTGGCAGAAGTGGTGAGCACACTTCACCAGGATGCCCATGCAGTGCACGCCACGATGCAATCAGCAGGCGAGGGGCCCACTGGGACAGGCATTGCAGCAAAAGGAGGAGAGACAAACAGGCAGATTAGGGGAGCTCATCACAACAATGATTTGCAAACGATGAGAATGCTGCCTTAGCACTTTCCACTGACAAAACTTCTCGAGAAAGAAATGTGATCGCAGAGATAGGCTCGTAGATGAACTTCGAGAGATTTAATCTCGTGGAGAAGAACACAAGATAAGTCTGTTCTGAGACTGTGGCCAATGAGCAGATCGGGAAGCTCTGGTGACTCTGGGAAGAAGAGTTGGGCTAAGGGATGTGGGGGGACGGGGGGGAAGTTATCTCTGGAGAAATG